CTGACTACTATTTTCATAACCGGTCCAAATGTTTCGGTGAAGTTTCTATAAACATGTTTTTATTACTATAGCCGATGATTGGACATGATTGCGTCTAAAATAATGTGTAAATTGAAGTAACTGAATTACATTGATTAGAAGACAGCTTAAAGCTATTAACAATAATTTTGAAATAACTGAAACTTTCATTTCTATAATTATAAAGGAGACGACCAAAAGTGTTACAGACATAATCAATAAGAGAATAAGTGAAATAAGACCCCACCATTTGCGTGATATACGACAAGCACCCATGAAAACATAACAGAGAAGCGAGAAAACACTCGAACAAATGCCAATCTGATTGAGTACAGAAACTGTATTCTGCTCGGCATATATTAAAACGAAACAGACAGCATCAGCTGAAGTAGAGTTCAATAATATTTCACCAGGTGGACAAAGAATTCTTCTATATGTCAATGATTGTTCCATCAGAAAACAATCATTGGCTAATAGTGGACAAAAATCTTGACTTGACAAGTTTTGTACTTGCAAGACACATCCATCTATAAGTAAAAGCAAGGTAATCCATGGAATGAACGCTAGTTGAATGATGAGAGACAGACGAAAACGTCGTGAGGATAAGAAATCAATATTAACACCAAAGAAATTCATAATCAGTCTTTGATGATCTAATCGAATGATTTCAAATAATTTTTCAACCAATTCTGCTAGTAATCGATTTGATAGTGATATCAAAAAACATATTTCGAAAATAAGTAGCACACCGTAACTTCCAAACATTAGCGCTCTATAATGATGAAATTCCATTAGTATTGTTTATAATGATCTAAAAGATAGACAAATCTCTACGTTTAATAAATCACATACTATATGGGATGTGATCAATACATCAATCAGATTAATATCAGAATAGAATAATTACTAACCTACGAAAAATTTCCTGTCGTTATGGATGTCTTATTAGTTGGAGTGAAAGATAAATATGCATACAGTTATATGGCAGATCAAATAGGAGGATTAATATCAGTCAATAGTAAATAAATAGACGAAAAAATAGAAGTCGAAAGGGTATGCATACAATGATGTATCGAGAGAGGATTAGAGGCAATCAGAACAACGAATAAATCTACAAAAAAACAACGCTACAACCGACATTATCGAGTACTGTCTACCTTTTTCGATCAGATAGATATATACTCCGGAAAAAATAAGTTTTTCTCGGTATTTTGAGGATATTGTTACCAAAAGAACGTATTTCTTTCAAAGTAACGACATATTCTGAAAGCCCGTGCAGTTTTACATCATCCTGTATATTTTTATTTTTGTTTGGATCGCTGTGTAAAAAGATTATTCCAATGAAGTGAACACACCCTCAGTACCTCATTCCCACACACTTAATATAATCATTGTTATCTCGTACAGTTTTTCAAGATTTTTTCAGTATTATAAATAGGTTTTGAAAAAAGTAATCACATATTCCGATAGAACTTCAAATTCTCTATCACCCTATATATTTATATAATGTCTTGCATTAATGGATGCCAGTCCTGGAATTTGTAGGAAATCCGATACAACGCTCCAAGCGCGGAAAACCAAGGTCTCAGTTGACTCTCAATTTGAAAAGGACATCCTGGGCTACCAGTCTGTGGTAGCCCAGAACCAAAAAGCGCTTGGATGTTTTGGACACGTGCTTATCGACTTTTCTCAGGGAGGAAAAGGATTTTCAAGAAACGAAGCATATAGTTTTGAAGCTTAACCGCTGGCAAATCTGGGTGCAGAACTATTGACTCTATGCCCTCTAGAAAAACCTGAATTAGGACCGCAGTGTCTGTCTGAGGCTTCCGACACGCGCCGCTTCTAGGTGCCGCGAAAAATCCAGTTTTTGTCCCGCTGCTTTAAAAGTAAGTTTTCTGGATTCAGTTTTCACCGCTGAATCCGAAAACTTACTCTGAAGTTTCGAAAGTGAAATCAGACAAAACTTCGACCACTTTATTGAATTGTGATTTTTTTCAGAATTTTGACATGCTTGCAGTATTTTGAAGATATCTCTACGAGGAAAGGATTTTGGAAGACAGGGATAAAATATTCATGATCATCTGTCATTTCTCTATCGAATAATGTATAAAAAAAGCATGAATTATTTTTAACTCGAACTCTGCTTTCCATTCATGTTACTATATTAAAAGAAGTAAAAAGAATTCTCAACGAAATTGAAACAAAGTTGTGGTCATTTTTGTTTTCTAATTAGTTTTAAACTCATTCTCTGCGTGGCGCCTATATGTTTGCGCATCCTAATCTCTTCTTGTATACTATTCCAACGCCATCTTTCGGCTATTGTTAAGGTTTATAGAGTTTCACCATTTTAGCGGGGTACTCATATACGCTGACTTCAACTTAAATTCATTGGCTGTGACCACATCGGATAAGGTTTGGCCTAGTTTACTATATTTTAACACGATACTTCTCTTTTAATAGCTTGACATTAGTCCATCATCCACAACGGACGTGTAGCTCGTCACTACGAAACCAACGCTGAGATTTGTCAAACTTTCAGAGAATGTTTTAATAGTCAAAGAGCTTTTATACTCTTCAAAATATTACAAATTTGCAAAGAGGCAAAATTAATGAAAATTTGCGAAAACATGTATCATTGAAACGTAATTGATTTAAAAGTTCCAGAAAACGATATCAATACTCAAAAATTGTTGTGAAGAAGGTGGTTATACTGAATTTAAAAGAATGCACTTATTATGTTGCATTCAAAATGTTAATACATCAGTAAGTTGTTAGAGTTTTTCATTAAAAAAGCATAGGAAAAGGAAGACACCAACATGGTATACCGACATTTGGGCGCAACAACGTTTGGGCGCAACAACATTTGGGAGCACAATGTATTACACGACATTGGGGCACAACGATAGTTGAAGTACAAAGACGCCGGTGAGGGTGTGGGTGAGGCTGAGTGTGAGTATCGATGAAGATTAAAGAAATAGTCGTTACAGTTGGATATGAATACTATAGAAAAAGCTCTCACAGCATAAAAAGTTTGTTTAAAGAGAATTTTATCGTTTTACAGCATGCTTTAACAAATGCACTACTGCGCCCAAACGTCGCGCGCGCCCAAATGTCTAGTAATCCACCAATATAATTTAAGATAAAAAAGAGTCAATTGGTTTTTCAATGCTTTAGAAAAGACTTGCTCAAGCAGAAAATTATTTATTGTTTAGTGTTTGAACGAAGAAATAAGAAATCACTTCCACTTTATGCTGCGTAACATTTACAGGATATAAGAACAAATTGTCATATACGCGTCCTAGGTGGCAACAAAATAAGTGATGCTTTAGAGGCATTAGAGAATCTTGTTTCCTTTTATTTATTTTCTCTCCTAAGAAATGAATTATATTAAAAGCCTTGAAAAGATAATTAATCAACTGAAAGCTGTTCAGAAGACATTCGCATTAAAATGACTTGAATGAAATTCAAAGGATATTTAAAAATATGGAAATGGAGTTTACATAGAAAGTACTAAACGCTTTGTATACATGCATTAAAGCAACTTAACCTTTCATGTAAGAATCAAGTTGTCACTAGACTTTCTCCTATACATTGCTGGACCCTGATTTTGATCAGACAAAAATGAACAGTATTTTTTGATTTTCAAGAGATTTAGTAGCAAAAGACTTTAGTCTAGCTCCACATTGCAGCCTGAAGTCGACCGAGCCTCTGATACAGATGAACTGTTTGATCTGCCTGGTGCAGACTTTACTCAAAAATGTTTGCTACAACGCTTATAGCTAACATCTAAGACCAGCGTTTATTAAAATGAGAAGCTCGAGATAGTTGGCTTCTTATAAGGATTATAAAATGAACTCAGCAATTAACTTTGGACTAAGGAAATAAGTTTCTTTAATATTCACAGTTATATCAACGAGTATGCCTGCAAACTTCCCAATGGATTTTTTTGAGACCAAATTTCTAATTTATTTTAAATTTAATGCATTTGTAAAGAATAATGACCTCGCCTTCAACCGACTCCCATATTCACATACACTCTATCACTATTCATGTCTCCGTCCGTCACTTTCTTCCTCTTCTCCTTGTTCAGTATATACGTTCACTCTTTCCATCCACGGTACTTCACTCTCTCTGTGTATATGTTCAATATCACTCTCTCATTGTTCATCCTATCTCTCTCCATTCATATTTCACCTCTCTCCTTTTGTGTGTACGTTCAATCACTCTCTCTTTGTTACTTGCACTATATATACTCATTGTACAGCGCATACAGGCAGTCTATTGTATAATAAACTCAGTAAAGGCATCGTTTCCTTTACATTTGACGATCTCGCCTCGGCGAATTTACTGTGAATCCCTGATCGTACATCAGGTTGTGATATTTCGGTGTAGGTACTTGTACACCTCTTACCCTAGTATTTGTTTAGCGCTGACATTACTGTCACTGGAGCTACTACTGCTTTCTCTAAAGCAGTCGTGAATCCCTGATCGTATATCAGGTTATTTGTGTATTTAAGTGTGAACAATTGTACACATCTTACTCGTAATATTTCGTTATTTAAAGCAAAGCATCAAAGCGTAATCTGGTGTTTCTTTATATAGTTTTATTAGTATTATTATTACGTAGTTTCACGTAGTGTTAGTGTTCACTGAAATCAGTAGTGAATACTTGCCGTATACACCCTACCTTCGGTACTCCTTTTCATTAGTGGTTGTATTGTATTCTTGATTAATAGTCAGGTGTTCGGCACACTTTGTCTACTTTTTACCAAAGACCTTCCTGGTGTACTTCTCTGTTCGAACAATATTCGACGATGAAGAAAAAGAGTAGTAGTCAGCAGAGAAAACCTGCACACCGCCAAATCTCTACAATATCCGATTCCTATGATGGACAGCGTGTACTGCAGCCTGTATGAAGGACTCAAGATGATGCAACAGCGCTCATCAATGTTAAAGACGTGTGTATCTTGTACGATCCACAAATGCTTTGCGTTGACGATCATGTAATTTTTCCCTACCATGATGGCGAATGGCATCAAGCAATAATCGTCGATGAATTACGAGAGGATGATGCATATGTAGTGAAATTTCGTGATTCGGAGGTCGAATGGCAGGTATCTCCTCGACAACATGTTCAATTAGATGGACAATGGGAAGTGTATATAACTGAATTAATTCAGATGTACAAAACAGAAATGGAACAGCAAATGAAGGCACGGATCCGAAGTACCCTTTCTCCCTCTGTAGTCTCAGACGCTGCAGCGATTCAAGATATCGCTCCAATACAATCATTCACTGTTCAGGAAGGTGATGTAGTAGCTGCTCAGTTTCCCCATAGCGGTCATCCTCTATACACTTTCGGTGAGTAGTATATTGGAACAGTGATTAGAATATGTAAAAAATTTCGTATCGCAGTGACTGTGTTTGAAAAATATATAATCAAAGACAAATATATGTCTTACGAGATAGAATTCGATCATATAAAGCCTTGTACAACGGAAATCCACCCTTCTTCAACAAACAGCACGTCATCAGCCATACCAAGAGTTTCCCCGAATTGTTACCATCCTCAACAGGAAGAGTACGTCAACTCGTATTATATGTCGAAATCATCGACTGTTGTCCAACACCCGACAGAAAAAGAAATCGCATGCAAAATGGCTTTTCTCCTCGTACGTCCATGGAGGATCACTATTCTCCAAAAGTAACTACATGGGATGATAAACATCTCCCGTCATCATCAGATTCTATTTTACTAGCGATAGATCCATCTACCGCTGAAATTGCAATCCCTCAACCTCTACCAGTAGTTACGCGAGAACACGAACGCCAGACACTTGAACTTATATGTATCCAAGGTAAATTCAGACGTGCGCGATTACAATTACAAAATGTAAAGTTCAAACATTTCTATTACCTGTAGAATTAAGAATTCTAGAATTATGAACTTTACATGTATGTAAAGTTGAACTTTACTTGTTCAGAATTTTCTAAAATTCTGAATTCTAGGGGTGAATGTGGGGGTGAGGGTGAGGATGAGTGTGAATAAGCAACTTTACATGTATGTAAAGTTCAGAATTCTAGAATTCTTAATTCTACAGATAATAGCAATGTATGAACTTTACATTTTGTAATTGTAATCGCGCAGCCCTCGGTAAATTATATACCGAAAAGATCAAACGTCTGGAAGCTGGAAAATCGGCTCTGGAACAACAAGTAAAACTACGACAGCTTCAAATGGAAACAAATCAATGGTTATTTAGTCATCTATTACCTGTTCCTAAGACGCAAAAAGTAAAAGATATGAAACCCAAGAAACCAAAATCGAAAAAGACAACGGCGCAAATATCTCGTGCTCAAAAAACGAAACGTGCTACTAGTCATCATCCTCTCTCTGAAAATCATCCAGCTCTCCATCCAGTAGCATTGTTAAACTCTTTCAAAAGCATTCAACCGAAACATCAGGTAGATGGACGATAAAAGGAAATTTCCTCTATACTTCCATTGTTATTAGCATTGTTAGCCATCTTATTATCGTTATCGTTAATATTTTTACTAAAATCGCCACTATTTATGGAAAAAGACTTCCTTCCCACTATATCATATCCGTTGACAAAAGATGTTGAACCGCCTAAGCCGATTAAAATATCTTCCTTATTTGGAAAATTATTCTCAACACAGCAACGAATAAGTTTCGCTCTGCCTTCTCTATTTGTGCATAGGAAATGGAAGTACAAAGAGTTTCTCCACTTCATACATTCATGATGAGTGTAAATCTCCAAACTAAATAAATCCGTGCCGATATATTTTAACCAGTTGGTCAACTATCGGATCGACAAGTCGAACTCCTTTTTCTAGCATTCATTCTTCTCGCATCACTTCAACAATGTAAAGCGGAGAACTTCCCGATCACAAATACTTCGTGTGGTACTCCTCTTTTATTATTTGCTTTTCTTTGTCTCTCAATGATTCAGAAACGTCTTTCCAAACGTCTCTGACAAAATCTATTCTAACTGATCACTCCACATCAAGCTATATATGTGGCATGTTTCCTATTGAATTTCATGGATACTGTGAGGTATTCCTTCGAAACTTATCTCCGACAACACTTACGATATGAATATGTAAATATTGACATAAATTCCTTTGTTCCTAGTCTCTGTTTGTCCAATTATGTATATATGTAGTTTTACATATGCCTAACCTATTTCAAACTCCTACAATTTCCTTTATTTAACTGGAATATTTTGGACCTCCACTCAATTATTCTTCACATTTCGTCTAAGATACTCTTTATTTAACTGGGATATTCTTCAACTTGGTAGTTATCCGATTATCATGACGCGTCAGCAGTTCTTTTCCATTTTGTTTTTTTTGTTTTTTCTGTCATTTGTTTTGATATCTTTTGTTGGATTTTGTTTTCTATTCGTGCGGAGCACTCATTTTGGCAGTGAGGGGAGATGTAAAGAATAATGATCTCGCCTTCAACCGACTCTCATATTCACATACACTCTATCACTATTCATGTTTCCGTCCGTCACTTTCTTCCTCTTCTCCTTGTTCAGTATATACGTTCACTCTTTCCATCCACGGTACTTCACTCTCTCTGTGTATATGTTCAATATCACTCTCTCATTGTTCATCCTATCTCTCTCCATTCATATTTCACCTCTCTCCTTTTGTGTGTACGTTCAATCACTCTCTCTTTGTTACTTGTACTATTTATACTCATTGTACAGCGCATCGTTTCCTTTACAGCATTCAAATGCAAAAAATTCTTTAACGCACTCGAATGCATTAAAAGTTTCTTCGTTCGTTCAATACGCAAGGTGCAGGCAATTCAAACTTTCAGTAAATTTTTTTTTCGTGTTTTCTTTACATCAATGGATAGAGATTGAGCTGCTGATCACGAAAAACTACTTTTTAGCTTTAGCAAATGCTTCCTTCTAGTCGAAAAATACGAAATACTCGAAAGATGTCGTTTTCGAGAAAAACACGTTCTTTCTCGAAATGTGCAAAATTTTCTACTTCATTCTTCTTTTTTGCTTCTGAACATAATTTTTCCAGATTCGGCATAAAAAACTAAATATAAGAAAGTTCTTAAATCGACTCTGGACCCCAAACCCTACTGATGGTGACGTTTCGAATCGCGTCGAGTGCACCACATATTGGTCGATTTTGTAAACCTATCTAGTTTTTCCACGTAAGTGATAAAGGCAGACGTTTTATCTCATTCGACTCATCATACCACCAGTTACAAAGTTACGTATCCTTTTTTTCTTCTTTTCTTTGCTGTGTTGAGAAAAATCGTTTTTACTGGTATCATATTCATTTCAGGCGGTACTCAAGGCTTTTCGAATTCAAATAAGACTTCTAGTCATAAACTAAATACAGATTCGTTATCAGCACAAAGAACTGAGTGGAATGAAGTGTATTTCCAGTCAATTTGACAACTTTCATTTTTTGACCTGCATACAACAATTGCAGCTCAACGACGATACCTGAAAAAATGAGCAAAAATGAAAGTGGGCAAATTGACTGGAAATGCACT